ATGGGGAGTTTCTCAAGATTGCCGACTCCCTGTTAGGGAGGATTTCCATTGTTCCGACTGTCATCTGAGATCTGGTGGTTTGCTCGTGTGCTGTTAGATTGGAAGTTTTCGGCGCCACCGGAGATCTCTTGAAGGCTGCAATGTGGGCATACTAGCCGCGCGAACAGTTGTACGAGCGACACAAGTAACACGCACAGGAAAGCAGCGAACATGATACATAAAGGAACCCCAAGCTCTATCACCTACATGTCAGCTAGCTTGCTCTTATAGAGGTCGGAAAACTCTATCCTAAATCCTACAAGCACAAAGTCAATAGTTAGTGACCCTAAGGGTCCAGGTACCCATATGGTACATAGCCCACGCCGTGGCCTTAAAGGGGTTCCTGCATACAGTTGCTTTGGCATGCTAATTTTCATAAGTACATGGAGCCTTGCCCTAACTTGCCCTTATGGCGACCCGCCTGGGGATTGATGCCTTGACGCACTTGCCGTGCTTTGCACACAAGCCTTTGCTTGTGTCACCTGGAAGATGGGTCAAGGGACAGCAGAAGATCTCCAAGCAACGAGCAGGGTACTAGACTCGACCTTGCTGCACGACTTTTCGTGCAGCACCAGCTCTTGAAGCAAAAAACCAACGAGCACTCTTCATGTGGCTAAGCTCATGTGGGACATCCTCAAACCAGGCAAGGTGCAAATACACTTTCCGCTTTTGCACGTGGCCTTTCGACTTGAACTGCACCCAAACCTTGGTCGCACAACGAGGGTTCCGAGTATAGTTGTCAGGGCTTACATGTTCCGGCTTGTGACCTCTAGGCCGCGAGAATGTGTTCGTAGTTCAGCCAAGACACCAACTGCACTGACCTCCGGTCTCCTGGAGACATGAATTGACGTGTGGCAGCATCATACCGTCTCAGTCATTGTCACGGCGTCGAGTGCACTTGATCGGCGCTTCATTTCTTCCTGTACTAGTAACTGAGCAAGTATTACGCAAAGATCTTACTGAACCCCACACCCGAATTTCCGGACGGACGGTGAGACCGAATCAAACGATCCTGTTTACACGCTGATGGTGCCGTCGTTGCAGCCCAATCCGTCTTACCCGGCGTCGGCGGAGGCCTCGTAGCGTTTTTGGGTCGGGGTTAAGAGACCTCAAGACTGTGTTAAATTCTCAAGAGACAGCCGTAAGGAGGCCTCAAAGTTTGAGTGCAGCGATTCAAAAATTGAGAGCTTTGGAGCTTTGGAGTCACAGCACTTGAGGCATCTTCGAGGAGCTAGGCGGCAACCATTGCGCGCATGCATGTTCTGCTTCGAGACTACTGTTTTCCCTTTGGCTCTTACTCATCAGTCAGAATATGACTGCTCCACGCAGCTGGTAGTACCCGTACTACACTTGCATCATCACAATCGTGTGTGCTCGTTTGGGAGAACTCTCATGACGGGCGTCGCTATGTCGGTATGCGCAACTGATGGAGGTGGCGTGGTCGCCAGCCAAGGCGTGTACCTCCCAGTCCAGCAAAGCGCTTTGCTTTCCGGGCTTCTGAGATAGAACTCAAGCTCGGGTTTTGATCAGGGATTGAGCTACCTACTGTCCTTCCAGGCTGCAGTTTCGAAGTCCGAAGCTTCACTACAGAGTCCTGCCAACCACCCAAACCATGCTGAGTCTGCACTTCGCAAACTTCGAAACCGTACACCCGGTGTCCCCAAAACCAAAGTCCGAAGTCCCTTGGCCCTAAACCCGAAACCACCTACTTCCTGCATCCCCATCTTTGGCCCTACACCTTGCCCCTCTCGTCTGGCACCTTTGTTTGGGTACCTAGCTTCATGCAGAGCCCGCCAAAAAAATTGTTAGCCCTTGCAAAAAGGAAGCCATAGAGAATGGATAACTTGAAACCTCCCCGCCCCCTCCAAAAACCAAGGAATTCCGCCCCAGCGGGCGGTGGTGGAGCAGGCCCCGGAGGTGGCTGACACTGGTTGGAACAAAGCCTCACAGCAAGACTGCCTATAGTCTCCATTGTAGTTCTCCTTATAGGATCCTAATTAAACATAGGACTGGTTAAAGCAAAAAGAGGAACTACAATGGAGACTATAGGTAGGGGTCGAGCGCTCTACGTGCGGTATGCTTGCTAGTCTCGTATCCTGGAAGCGCTACACACCAAATCCTCCTAGAATTTCATGGAGGTGTGTCCCGATATGTGAGAACCATGGATCAGGATCTGAGGACTGGCGATACCTGCCAGGCTGCCAGTGGTTCTACAAAACATGCATCCAAGGAGCGGACAGCGACGACAACACACAAGCTGTGCACGACCAGGTTGGCAAGGGGATTTCACGCCAAGTGGTGCAACTTCTGAACAGACAAAGAAGGTTTAAGCTGGGCTGCAATCAGCGTTTTGTGCCGGAGGGTATTGGGCTTCGGGGAGGGGCGTGGTTTTGTAGGGTTCAGGGCTGACATTTTGTGGATCTTGTTGCTGGGCTTAACTCTCGGTGCTGCGACATATACCTTCATACCAGGCCCTAGACTTACACCCTCAAAGCCAACACCTTACAGTTCACACCCAAGGCCCTGAAGAGCCAAACCCCGAAATCCCACATCCTGCCCACACCTCAATCAAGACCTGAAGCCCCAACCTTAATCCTGAAAGTGTCAACCCCTAAGCCGAACCTATACATAAAAGATGCTCTACCGTACATCTCCTGACAGCAACGGTTAGCAAAGGCGCAGTGTACGTAGTGTCTCTGCCATGCTTCTACCCATGGCTCCTAAGTAGTTCCGTTTTGTGGTTTGTACTCAGAACCCTATAGGTAATCCCAAAAATCAACCACAATGGAGCCTATGGGTAGACCATAAGCCCTGCGTCCCTGGAAACTGAGATCTCCACCTCTTGCTGGCCAAATAGTACGGTGTTTGCTGCCTCCGGTCGAGGGAGATTTCTGCCTTCTTAGCTTCATAGTCTGGGGTTCAGGTGGTGGTTAGTTGAAGGTGGCTAGTTTCGGATCCATATAGGGCGAACTGAAGAATTTAACTGTTCTTTTAGTGCTTGGTTTAGGGCAGTGCCTCAGGATTTCGAGGATGAAGGCTTGAGTCTTCAGGCTCTCGGCACTCCTATTTGGTCTAAGCCGGGTCCACGTTTGGGTCTGGAGCCAAATCAGATGCAGCACGATCAAGCGGTGGTCAAACGATGATTCAGGGTTTAGGGTTTAGTTCAGGGTAGTCAGACAAGCGGCGGGCATCGATAACTTTTTCCTGACAGAAGCAAACACTTCATGACCACTGCTCGCGCAGAAGGATAACATGCCTCTGAATGATCCTGCGATGGCTTGTAGTGTGAAGCACGCAGGAGCTCGGCAACTCTGAATTTTACGTGTGTATTTGGTGTCGATAAAATATTAAAACACTTGCAAAGGTGCTGTAGATGCAACTTCGGCTGCTCCCCTGGACTACATGCCCCCCAAGCACACTTTGCAAAGAATGAAATTCCGAGATTCCGCCGATGGCACATGGCTTGTTGGCGCAGTTGGGGCAAACGCCTGGGGAAGCAATCGCGAGCAATCTGCTAACTCTTGGCAAGCGCACTTCGTCATGTTCATTTGCACAGCACGCACACTGATCTTTCTCTGTTCTGCATGTCTGCGTGATTTACTCGCTTTCTCACCCTTCCTTCCTCCTTGCATACTATGCCCAAACTATGCCCAAAGTCAGCCAATCTAAGCCGCAAGTCCACATCTCCAACTCATAAAGCCATGTTTCCCATCTCTCCCTACACTGTGGGTCGAAGACGAGATGCGGCATGTAGAGAGGACCGGTGAGTCATCTTGGCAAACATTGGATTTGACCTCGGTTTGGTATAGCCTCCAAGAGAAACGAACGACAGCGGCACCTACCACAAAGAGACTGGGAGAGACGGATACATGGAACTACCAACGCTCGAAGAGAAAGAGAGGAGCGAGAAAGGGAGAGAGGAAGAACTAGAACGCAATCATCAAAGGACGCACACACCCACACGTATCGACTTTCGGTAGCAACAAGTGCCGGAGCGTGCCGCGGCCCGTATGCCCTAGTATCAGGACTGCGTTCAGGGCCCTCGCCATCAAGAGGCTCCTAAGAAGAGTAGACTATGTTGGTTGGGGGGGTTTATGAATTAGTTAGAGATTTTCGACTTATTTTTTGGGCATTGGATCAGAAGGGGCTGCGATTCGTGTTTTAGTGTGCGGCTGTCAAGTGCATCCCAGGGGCACATTTGCAATGAGCCTCTGAGAAGTAGGGCCTTGACTGGCGGAGGCTCTGTGTAAACCTCCCGATGCTTTTTTTGACCGAGTCTGCTCATAACATCCAGATTGTCCCACCTGCTTTATCTAGGTCGCACTGCAGGGAAACTGCATACTCGATGCAAACTCCAAGGCTTAAACGATCCCTGATTTTCAATACATGCGTAGGCTACAGAGTGGAATCACGCAGGCGAGTTCCTCCAGGTAGGGCTCTGGGATTTACAATCACGAAACCCTAAACCTAAAACCCAAAACCGTCAGTGTACCATACACAGGCTAGGCTTACAAAGGGTAGCAGGTCTAGCTTACAGGTCGAGCACTATAGGGTTTCGGGATGTGTCAGACCGTCCGTCCCAATTGAGGAAAGAACGGGACATCAGTGCAAAATGCCTCCAGAAGCCCGTGAAACCCAGCGGAGCAGTTGGCCGTTCGTAACCGCCTCAAACTAACCGAAAACGAACCCCCAAAGCCCAAAATCGTCTACCATAGATCCTGCGACTCGATAAAAAAAGCCGTCAAAAGAACCCTCAAACGCCATATCACAACCGTAATCGAAGCCCAAACCCTAGAAGTGGATGTCTAGTTTCTGAAACTAAAATTAAGGCTCCAGTTGCCTAAAGAATGGGGTACCGGGTTAGCTGGCTAACATGACTACTATGCTATTATTTAGGAATGTTTTGCCGACTATTTAGGGTTAAGGGTTGTGTGTTAGGGACAGAGGTCCAGTCGGGGGGCGCATGAACAGGGCAACTGGTCCAAGATCCTTTGCCAGAGTAGTCCAGTGTGCACTCGTTCCTTGGTCCAAGAGGCTTCGTGGACGGTTTCGAGTCTCTATAATCCTAAGCCCTCGGGTTCAGGGTTTAGGGGGGGCCTAGGCCTAAACCGCAAGCCCCATATTATCATATAAGCCCTAAACCTCTAAACGTTGAGGCCGTAGCTTTTGCGAGGACACTCTGATGCTTAAATTCCGACCTCTGAGCCCTGTGACCGCGCAAAGCCACGATGAACCCTAGGCCCTAAACCCTAAGCCCCAAACCCTAAACCAAGCAAAGCCACCATAAACCCTAAACGCCCTAAACCCAGTGCTTACAAACCCAGAAGTGCTGTAGGCTCCCCGACTCCCCCAAAAAGAAAAAGAAGCTCATGTGCGTGTTTTTGTCGCATGAATGCCTACAGCAACGCTGCATGCCTCCTAACTTCCGAGACTTTGGATACCCTTCGTTTGATGTTCGGACCCAAATGTCGCTTTGCATGGCCGACAACCTGAGCCGATTGAGTTAGGGCTGGCCGAAGCGGGTTCGCGTTCACTGTTTCCCTGCACCGAGAAACGAAGTACCAATTCTAGCATGTTGGTGGCGATGATTCTTTCTTCTCCTGTTGTTACTACTATTGGTTATAAACCGGACACCATCGCGGCTTCGGCTTTGCAACCAAGTTACTATAATGAGGAAGCCCTATCATTTACCATCTCTCTCCATGGTAGTAACTTAACTTAAGTCCCTGAACAGCAACGAGATGATGGCACTGGAAGGACTTTGTGGGGCCGCCCGCGAACTGAGCGGCGGCGTATCCTTTCCTCACCCTTGATATCGATCACTTTCCCAAATTCCAAGTTTCCCTAAACCCTAAGCCTAAACCCTAACTAGTACCCTAAGAGTTTCTAGATTGCCAGAAATCTGAACATGAGAAGCTGAACATCTGGAACACAAGCTCCCCAGGGAGGGAGGGAGGGATCAGGCAGGCAGGTAGGCAGGCAGGCAGAGGCAGGCAGGGTGGCAGGTAGGCAGGCAGGCAGGCAGGCAGGCAGGCAGGCAGCAGAGGGACGGAGGGGAGGGAGTACTGAGGCCACGACGGGTTGCAAAGGATGCAGCGCCCACTTTTCGCCTTGCGGACATTCTGAAGGCTCAGTCTTTTTATGCACATACATGTAGATCTGCATATACAAACGCAAAAGGAGAAGACTACCTAGCCAGTCAGGTCAGGTCCACTTCTATGAGGAAGAGTCGTCGTCAGTTGGCATTCTGGCGGAAACTGCAGAGGTACATATGAATAGTTACAAGACCCTAAACCTAAACACAATTAGTGCGGGTAGGCTTTTTCTGGGAGTTTGCATGCCTGAGCATCCTGATTGGCTTGCTCCTAGAAGGATGTGCAAACGTAGCGTACATTGCTTGGCTTGTCGCTTAATTTCGAGGATGTCCGGACTTTTCTATTCCTCCCCGGAGCGATGTCAGGCAGCGAGAAGCAAGCCCCGGTTTTTGCATCTGACCCAGGGACCAGGGTTTAGAGCTTTTGGGGTTTACGGGGGGCTCAACAAGCTGCTGCTCCAAACGACAGCAACCCCCGGCCTGGCTAAGAAGCTGCCGCTGTGAAAGAAAACGGCTGTCTGGAGCTTCAAAATTGAATGTGCTCCTTCTTCCGGCGGCTTCGAGAATCAAAACTGTTACCAGCAACTAACCCGAATGATCTGAACCACTGCCTTGGCATCATTGACTGGCAGCGCCGAGTAAGAGCGACCTCCGATCCTCGGCTCATCAATGGGGCAAGGCAACAGCAACTCAAGCAACAAGTAGCGTGACTACAACGACAACCGGAAACCCAACCACTGCAACCGCCATCGTCGTCTTCACCTGGACCATCATACCAGCAACGACGACGACAAGATCATGACTACTACAGCTATTACTACTCCTTTTGCTACGACGACGACGACGACGACGACTACTACTACTACTACTACTACTTCTACGACTACGACGACGGCGACGACGACTACTACTAATGCTGCTGCTACTGCTACTATTGCTGCTGCTGCTGCTGCCGCCGCCTTCATCTGTCGCCACCGCGACGACGACCTCCTACTCTTATTGCTTTTATCAGCGCTGCCAGTGCTCTTGCCCTTACTTCCACTTGCACGACAACGTACTGCTAAGGAGGCGACGGCTGTGAAATCCGACTATGTTCAAATCACAGGGAAGGTGGCAACGAAGCCTGTCTCACAGGGCAAACCACCAAGAGATAGCCATGCCAAGCCATGCTAAGCCGCAGAAGCAATGCTGGACAAGTCAAGACGCAGGAAATCATTCGGGTCGGATGCCTCAACGGTGATAGCATCCAGGTCATCGACCTCCACTGCCGCGTTGAAGGGGTTGCCGCCAAGGCATGTATCCCTACTCGTCTCAATCGTTGATTCCTTCAACCCACATCCCCTACGTGCCCCTACGCCCTTCACCTTCCTCTCCTACTGGGTGATGCACAACCGAGCTCTCAGAAAACACAACACAAGGCACAGCTTTGACTTGACTGAGATGAGTAACATACAACTTTGAATAGTTGCGGATATTTTTTCCTAGGATTCCTTGTTATAGTTCTACTACAATAATGCCTTATTTATTCCACCCTATCTTAAGGACAGGGACAATGGCGTCGAATTCTTTGCAGAGCGACTCCCTACCAGTCCAACAAGATGCCCAACGCAGCGTCGGGGGCGGCGGGTTGTGCAGGGAAGAGAACGGCAACCCAAAGGAATAGCACGGCCCTTATAGTATAGTACAGCTCCGGGTATTCCGACCGCTGCCGATCTGGACCTCCTCTGGCATGTTGTATTCTGGTTCCAGCAGGTCCTGGAATCAGCGTATGCCGGGTATGCTTGGTCTGCCTAGCAGTGGCTATCTGGTGCTGATGGCTCTCTACTTCTTCTGTTGTGGGTTGCTGAGTATGGGGAAGATGAACATGGTTGAGAATGGACGTGGTATGCGCTCAAGGACACATGACTAGGTTCACTTTAGATCCCGATATGGAAACTTAGATCATTAAGTCCCTTAACAAGAAACCAGACAAGGGTGCTCATGCCCTGCTTGCCTTTACGATTCCTGGAGCCCAAAACTCTAACGAAGCCCGGTCTTTCGCAGCCCTCAGCGTTGGTGTGGAGGATGCCCAGACTCCGGCCGCTAGCAAAGCACATGCCAAGGGTACTGCCACAAGTCCCGCTCCTGGGCTGCAAGGAAAACAGGGTTTGAACTCGTGTGCTTACTTCCCCCGTCCATCCGTCTTGCAATCGAACCTCGTTAGACAGGATGCAATGAAGTGTGAACCTCATGACTCTACCCAGACCCTCCATCTACCCTCCACTAGACCCTAAGTACCCAGTATTCGGGGCCATATACCCCTGTTTCAGGTGACAGGGAGGGTCCTGGCATGCATGTCACAGCCTTTGCTTATCACGCCCGGGGTTCGTTTCAAGCAGCACGCGCGCTGGGGAGCTGCTCCGGTGTCAGTGGCGAGAAGAGCATCGTTCTCCAGATTCTCCTCCAGCTCCGGCTGATATAGGGGCCTTAATAAGTGAAGTAGAGTTTTGGGTATATTCTATTATAGCGGTAAAGGGGCTACAGGCGTATACTTCTAGACAGTGTTCCGACCCCTATGTTAAGTTCTGTTATGTGCGGGGCTGTGCACGCAACGATTGCAGCACGCTTTCGTCTTCCTTTTGCCACTTTTTCGAGCTCATGTGATTGAGCCCGTCTAGAAACCGAACGGCTTCCTTTTTGCAATGCCTCTACTTTCGAGCTCATGGGCGAAAGACCAGGGGAGCCAGCCCATGACTATGGCTGACCATCCATGTCTGCAGCTTAGTTTCGGATACGGTCTGCATGCACACCCACTGAGCCCACCGGCAGAGCGAGAGAGAGCGAGACAGAGAGGGACAGCAACACAGCAAAGGCACGGCCACACGGGCTGAAATCCGAAAGGTTGTGGTCGGTCTCAGATCGAAGGAAAAACGGAAGGTAATCTGTTCGCGATCAATGTCGCTTGCAGCTGCCTTTCATCAAAAACGGCTCCTTTCATCAGAAAGGGCTCTCGATCCTTCTCTGGCAGTCCAGCACTCGGAAGTCTTCTACCAAGCCTAGCATGGGGATCTTTATGCAGGGAATCCCGGAAAGTTGGAACATGGGTTTAGGAGGATTATTGCTAGGATCCCTTCTACTTTACCTTACAGGCATGGGGGTACTCATGCTCCAATTTTCGGCGCTCACAGCTCGGACAATCCCGGTGAGGCAAGTGTCGACAGGTCGGCTGGGCGAAGCCAGATGGAAAGGAGAGGACTGCCGACGAAGCACACAGAGACGGCTTAGGGTTTTGGGGTCTCAACAATCAAGCAAAATTGTTTGTTTGAAGTATTCCTGCATAAGGACTACGTGCGGAATATTAACCCCGAAATTAGGGCTGATATCCGCAACCGATCGTAGAAGCTGCAGATGCCATGATTCTTGGAAACGGGGGATAGTGATACCAACATGGAATACTGACACAATGCGGTGCAATAATTCGAAAGTGATCCAAGCAGGTCTTTCGGCTTTCGGCCACGGCCAGGCTTCTCTTGATTGCTTCTGTTGCTGCCCTGTCGTAGAGGGTCCCTTAAACCCGAAACCCTAGGGGTTCGTTTCTACTCCACAGCCCTCTGCGGGAAGCCAACCAAATCGAATCTTCAGTCCTGCAGTGGATCCTGTCGGACACTGCCGCCTTGCTCCGTCATCATCGACTCAGAGGCCTTTCAGGGTTGTCATGGGAAGGTGCAACTTCTTCGGGTAGTAGCCGGGTAGTACTGGCCAAACTCTCAGCAGATGGCGCGACGGCTTGGAAAGACTGGGCTTCATTTTTGGGAACGCTGTTTCCTTGTTTCTTTGGTGTAGAATCCCAACAGAAAACTCCGAAAACTATAGGTTGTTCTAAACCACTAAACCATAAACACTCAACAGCCCCCCTAACCTAAACCCTCGAATCATGTTGCCTCACGATCTCTGTTGACTCTGTTGATCTCTAGCTCGCGGAGCGGTTCAGAGCTACTAAACACGAACAGAAGCGTGTGACGCTTTCAACGTTTCGGAAGAGCCTTTGTGTTTGAACACGGACTCTGTTGACCCTAAGCCCTCAACCCTAAGACAGTATCCTGCATTGCCAAAAACATCCTAAACTGCCAAACTGATACTATAGTCCTTCATCTGATGGGTAGTTCTCTCAATTAGGGTCCAGTCTTAAGTCCCCAACATAGTACGGCGCGCCCTAGTAACAGGACCTTAAAAGGGACCCTAATAGAGAGATAGAGAGATCTACGCAGATGGTGAAACATGTAGTATTTTGCCCATCGGCAGTAGCAGGTGCCTCGCCTGGCGCAGCACGTGGTCAAATCTACCAAAGCTCACAATCAATGCCGGCCCTTGTGGCTTGAACCAGACTGAGCAGGGCAACAACAGTCAAACGCACCATGGTGATCCATGTGTATGTGTATAAACAAATAAAAAAAAGTAATCAAACGAATAAACAAACAAATATATATGTGTATATATATATAACATAATATGTAGAGGGAGCGAGGCGGAGAGTTGTGGTGGCAGCGGCAAAATGGTACTGCAGAATTAAGCTCCTACACAGGCAGAGCGGCACTGACGATAATGATTATCTTCTAGACCCTAAACCGTAAACGCCCTAAACCCCAAATCCCATAATCACGGTGCCCGGGCCGATCTCGGTGCTCTTGTCGCGCCGGCATGCCCTCCACATGGTCCCTTCGAACCCTTACCCTAAACCCTAAACCCAAACTGAGCATTTATAGCACGTAGACCTGTTCTTCATCAGTTTCCCATGTGATGACAATGCTTGTAATTACCGGAGCGAAGTCGAGCTAGCCAAGGTCGAATATGTCGTCTTGAACACCCCTGCAACTGTCCATAACCCTGAACCCTGGTTCTGAGTTGGCGGCTCTCGTTGACGAGGTGCAAGCTGCGAACCCGCGTAGTGATTCAACCCAGCACCTTCTAATCGCGCTTGCCTTTGGGGCTGAAGGCTACAGTATAATTGCTATAATACTATACTGTGGGTGGTCAATGTATTCCCAGTTCTAGGGCTGAAGGGGATCTTAGACTGTGGGTTTTTAACGGGAATGGAATAATGGTGTAGCGGAATCATTTAGACCCTTATTAAGGTGTGTAAGAGGGTTCATACCCCTCGACATGAATACATCTAGGCCCAAGGCACGTACAACGACATGCGAATGTCGTGTGAATGCGTGCGCGTGCGTGTGTGTGTGTGTGAGTGTGAGTGTGAGTGTGAGTGTGAGTGTGAGTGTGAGTGTGTGTGTGTGTGTGTTCGTGTTTGTGTGTGTGTGTGTGGGTGTGCTTGTGTTTGTGCGTGTGTGTGTGTGTGAAACTCCTGT